AAAATCATATCATTTACATGGACCTTGTAAACAAGCAGAGGTATCTATCTTCATATAAGACAAAGTGGACTTCAAGCCAAAATTAATCAGAAGGGAAAAAGAAGAATATTTCATACTGCTTAAAGGAATTGTACATCAACCAGATATAACAATCATAAATATTTATGCCCCAAACAATGGAATATCTATGTATATCAAGCAAACTCTTCTCAATTTCTAGAACCAAATAGATCACAACACAATAATGCCAGGTGACTTTGACACACCTCCCTCACCACTGGATATATCTTCCAAACAATACTAGATAAAGAAGTTACAGAACTAAAAAATACAATGAATAATTTAGACCTAAAAAACATATAAAGAATATTTCAAGCTAGATGTGATAACACATGCCTGTAATCCCATCAGCTTGGGAGGCTGAAGCAGGAGGATAGCAAGTTCAAAGCCAGCCTTAGCAAAGGCAAGGCACTAAGCAACTCAGTGAGACCCTGTCTCTAAATAAAATAGAAAACAGGGCTGGGGATGTGGCTCAGTTTTAGAGTGCCCCTGAGTTCAGTCCCCAGTACCACTTCACCACCAAAAAAAAAGAATAATTCATCCATCAATGACTGAATACACTTTGTCCTCAGCAGCACATGGATCCTTCTCTAAAATAGGTCATATTTTAGGCCACAAAAGCAATTATAACTAAATACAAAATTAGAAATCAATGATAAAATAAAAAATAAAAGCTACTCTAACACCTGGAGACTAAACAATATGCTATTAAATGGTCAATGGATTCTAGAAGATACCAGGATGAAATTTAAAAAAATACTTAGAGGTAAATGAGAATAGCAATACAACATATCAAAATCTCTGGGAAACTATGAATGAATGGGGTTTTAAGAGAAAAGTTCATTGCACTGAGCTCATTCATTAAAAGAACAAACAGATAGTCATCAAGTAAATAACCTAACATTATTATCAAAACCATAGAAAAAGAAGAACAAATCGATACCAAAAGCAGTAAAAGACAGAAAATAATTAAAATCAAAGCTGAAATCAACAAAATTGAAACAAAAATCCTAAAAATTGATGAAACAAAAAGTTCGTTCTTTAAAAATACAAATAAAAAAATATAAACCATTAGCCAAGCTAACAAAGAGAGAGAAAGAAAAATGAACTTACTAAAATTTGTGATGAAAAAGGAAATATCAAAAAGGACACTATGAAATATAGGTGATAATCAAACTATTTTGAAAATTTATATGCTGATAAAATAGAAAATCTTGAAGATATTGACAATTTCTAGGGACATAACATACTCAGATTGAATCTGGAATACAGAATATTTAAACAGATCAATTTCAAGTATTAAAAGTGAAGATATTATAAAAAGCCTACTAACAAAGAAAAGCCCACGTCCAGACAGATTCTCAACCAAGTTTTACCAGACCTTCAAAGAATAACTACACCAAAACTCCTCAAATTATTTCATGAACTAGAAAAGGAAGGAATCCTTCCAAACTCTTTCTATGAAGCTAGTATTATCCTGATACCAAAACAGACAAAGACTAATCAAAGGAAGAAAACTTCAGACCAATATCCCTGATGAACATAGGCGCAAAAATTCTTAATAAAATACTGGCAAATTTCATACAAAAACATTAAAAAGATAATGAACCATGATCAAGTAGTGTTCATTCTAGGAATGCAAGGATGGTTCAACATATGAAAATCAATAAGTATAAATCATCACCCCAGTAGCTTTAAAGACAAGAATCACATGATTATTTCAATAGATGCAGAAAAAGCATTTGACAAAATATATTACACCTTCATGTGCAAAACATTAGAGAAAAACTAGGGATAGTAGGAGCATACCTCAATATTACAAAAGCTATCTTTGCTAAACCCACAGTCAACATCATTCTAAATGGAGAAAAATTGAAAGCATTCCTTCTAAAAACTGGAACAAGACAAAGAAATACTCTTTCGCCACTTCTATTCAACATAGTCCTGGAAAATCTCGCCAGAGCAATTAGACAGAGGAAAGAAATTAAATGAATATGAATAGAAAAAGAATTCAAACTATCCCTATTTACCAACATCATGATTTTATATTTAAAAGACCCCCCAAAAAAATAACTCTACTAGAAAACATCTAGAATTCATAAATGAATTCAGTAAAGTAGTAGAATATAAAATTAACACCCATAAATCAATTGTGTTTGTATACATCAGTGGTAAAACAACTGAGAGAAATTAGGAAAACTATTCCAATCACAAAAGCCTCAGAAAAAAATATTTGGGAATGAATCTAACAAAAGTGATGAAACACCTCTACCATGAAAACTACAGAACACTATAGAAAGACATTGAAGAAGACATTAGAAGATGTAAAGCTCTCCCATATTCTTGGATAGGCAGAATAAATATCATCAAAATGGCCACATTACCAAAAGCACTATGCAGATTTAATGCAGTTCTTATTAAAATTCTAAGAGTGTTCTTCATAGAAATAGAAATGGCAATTATGAAATTCATTTGGAAAAATAAGAGGCCCAGAATTGCCAAAGCAATCTACATCAAGAAAACTGACTTAGGAGGCATCACACTACCAGACCTTAAATTATACTACAGAGCTATAACAAAAATGGCATGGTATTGGCAAAAAAACAGACATGAAGACAAATGAAATAGAATGGAAGACACAGAGAACAAACTCACATAAATACAGTTATCTCATACTAGACAAAGACACCATAAACATTCATAGGAGAAAAGATGGCTTCTTCAACCAATGGTGCTAGAAAAAATGCAACTCCATATGTAGCAAAATGAAATTTAACCCTTATCTCTCACCCTGAACAAAACTCAACTCAAGGTGGATCAAAGATCTAGGTATTACATGAGACATCACACCTACTAGAAGAAAAAGTAGGCCCAACTCTCAATCATGTTGACTTTTGAACTGAATTCCTCAACAAGACTCCTAAAGCACAAGAAGTAAAATGTTAAAAATCAATAAATGAGATGGTATCAAACTAAAAACTTCTTCACATCAAAGGAAACAATGGATAATGTGAAGAGAGAGCCTCCAAATGGGAGAAAATTTTCTCCACCTGCAGCTCAGAGCATTAATCTCCATGATATATAAAGAATGCAAAAAGCTTCACACCAAAAAACAAATAACCCAATTAATAAATGGGTTAAGGAACTCAAGAGACACTTCACAAAAGAAGAAATACAGTCAACAAATATGTGAAAAAATCTTCAACATCACTAGCAATTAGAGAAATACAAATTAAAACTACACTGAGATTTCATCTCACTCTAGTCAGAATGGCAATTATCAAGACTAGGAGTAACAATGAATGTTTGCATGGATGTGGTGAAAGAGGTTCACTCATAAATTGCTGGTGGGGATGCAAAGTAGCACAACCACTCTGGAAAGCAGTATGGAGAGTCTTCAGAAAACTTAAAATGGAACCATCATTTGACCCAATTATCTCACTCCTCTGTATATAAGTCCCAAAGGACTTAAAATCAGCATAGTATAGTGACATGGCCACATCAATATTTATAGCAGCTCAATTCACAATAGCTAATTTATGGAACCAACCTAAGTGCCCTTCAACAGAAGAGTGGATGAAGAAAATGTGGTGGGTGTATATATGCAATGGACTATTATTCATCTTCAAAGAACAATGAAATTATGTTTCATGCTAAGTGAAATAAGCCAGTCCCAGAAAACTATCATGCTAAGTGAAATAAGCCAATCCCAGAAAACCAAAAGCTAGAAGTTTTCTCTGGTATGTGAATGCTAACACACAACAAGGTGGAGAGAGGAAGAATAGAAGTTTAATAGATAAGAGTAAGGGAAATGAAGGGAAGAAAGGATGGATGGGAATAGGATAGACAGTAGAATAAATCAGACATTACTTTCCTATGTTCATGTATGATTACATGACCAGTGTAACTCCACATCATGTACAACCACAATAATAGGATTCTAATTAGAATAACTTATAGTCCATTTATGTATAATGTGTCAAAATACACTCTATTGTCATGTATATCTAAGAAGAACAAATAAAAGGAAAAAATGTGGGAGAATAGATAAAGAAATAGAAATTCCAAGCAGAGAAGATTGTGTGATTAAAAGCAAAGAGAAGCATAAACCATCAAATCTAAAACTACAAACAGATCATGTTTTCTGAAAGATGAACATCTCTCAAAATGACCTTAAAGTGTATTCCAGTATTCCTAATTTATTAGATCTCAGTGAAAAAAAGCCATACTTACTTGCTTTTTCTTTGGAATTAGATGTCATTTTTAATCTATATTTTTATGACAGTTGTAGCAGATATAACAATAAGACTGACTTTTTTCAAAGACCTATATTCAAGACATTGCACTAAATACTTTGCATCTGTTCTATAGTTTGGATCTGCAATGTCCCACAGAGGCCCACATGTTGAGGTCTTGTTCCCCAGCCCTTGGACTATTGCAAAGCAATGGAACCTTTAAGAGGTGGGCCTAGTGGGGGCGCTCAGGTCATTGGAGATGTGCCCTTGAAGGGAATTGTGGAATATTGGTCTCCTTCTCTCTCTTCACTTCCTATCCTCATTAGGTGAGTGGCTTTACTCCACCTCAATTCCTCACCATGATGTGCTGCCTCACAAGTCCAGAAGCAATGTCGCCAAACATTCGCTGGAGCCACCAAAATTATGAACCAAAATAATCTTTTCCTTTTTTTAGGTTGATTATTTTAGCTACTTTGTTATAGTAATGAAATGGTAACTAACCCAGCCTGTCATTCAACTTCACACTCACAGTATTTGAAGAAGGTCTTATTACCACCCCCCTCTATTTTATAGAATAAGGAAGTAAAAAAATAAATAAATTTACTTGTCCAAGTTCTTACTGTTACCAAGTATCACTATCCAGATAATTCCAAGTGCCTTCTCTGAAATGTGTTCTTTCTATCATTTTAGGTACTAATTAATCTTTTACTGATTTCTATTCAAGAAAAGACGTTTTTTTAAAGTTACAACTTTTCAGGTTTAAGGAATTGTATATTATTTGTTCTGTCCCCAGAATGATGTAGAATTTGTCATGTAAAGTAATAGCAACTCAATTTGTCACTGATTTTCTTGTAGAAATAATTATTTTTGCTTGCCCCAATTCTTTAACTCCCTATCTAATTGTTTAAAAATCACTTTTTAAATTACCATTATCCATTCAGTTATTCAGTATTAGACCATGTTTGTTATATTCTAAAATCTGTTCTCTCTTTCTTCTTTGAGCTAGAAAGTTTCTCTCTAAAAAATGTACATATTTCTTTTCTTTTCTTTCTTTTTTGCTTTTCACAGCAGATGATGCATCTATTATTAAAACAGTATCAATAATGTGACTTCTTAGCCCTCATTAAATTCTCTATTTTGAAGCTACCTAATATTATATCTCTCCTTCAAATTCAGTTTAAAATTAGTTTCATTTGTTTTGTCCTTAGCTTTAGAGTATTTGAATTATATTCTTAACACTTAAAAAAGTAATTAATGTCAACAACTTAAACAACTTTTATTTAATATGGTATGATTAAGTCCCACTCAGTCCCACTCAATATTCCTTCCTTTCTTGTTTTATTATTGCTTTCATTAAATAAAAATATTTATTATGTGCTAAGGCTTTACCTTATATAAAATAATTTATAATATAAACTCTCCAATACTCAAATATTTTCTTTCCATAATAAAAATGGTAGCATAAAATAATTTTTATTCTTCAGTTTATTTGCATGTATTTATCTTGCATGAAGGATACCATTTATAGAGATTGCTAGTTGTTTAGCTCAACCTTTATGCTCCCTTCCTCTTTAAGTAATGAAATTTTGATTTTTACAGAGTATATTGTCACCTCAATCATAAAAATCTCAAATTTCATTGAAGTGAAGCATGACCATGTGATTAAGTCCCAAATAGCTGAGTTATTTCATGAGTTATTGTGGTTTTGAAATTTGAAAGTAATTTATTTCTATTAACTTGAATAAATTTGTTAATTTCTTGAAATGTTTGAGATAAATCATGACATTATGCTGGAAAATGAAATTCTAGTTGAGCTCAGAAGTAGTGGCCACCTCTTCATTCTAACCAGATTCTCAATATGCTGTATTGTTAACCTGAATTACATAATCTCTTTGACTAAGGATTCTCAGATACTAGGGTATAAATAATTACTTGAATAATTCATTAAGCTGATAATTATCTAGTTACAATCCAGGATGACTGGATGCAATGTGAGAACATGAATCTGAATAAGCTTTGTTATTTAATGTAGTGGGGTCCTCAGGCAGACCTAAGAATCACTGCAAATAACTGCTGTAAAACATTCACTTTTACACAGCTGTTCTTTTGCTAGTGCAGTTCCTTGACACATCCTCCCTAGAAGCTCAGTGTAGATTGTTTCTTTTTAAATAATATTATCAAGGCAGAATCCACATATGGTAAAGTACACTAATTGTAAGAGCATAATTCCAGGACGTTACATAAATTTATTAAATCATGTAACCATTATCACAATCCAACTTTGATAAGTTCACTTTCTGAAAAATTTTCCTTATGCCCCCTTAGTATGCATTTGACTTTCTGCCTCTCTATATTTAAATATTATATATAAGTATATAATATATATTTAGATGTATATGTATTTATGTATCATATATATATTTTGGACTGGGGGAGAGGAGGGAGTAAAAAAGCCCTATTGGGCCCTATTCTGTGGCAGCTTCTTGTTCTATAGGGTTAAAGAAGAAATAAAAGTTGAGGAAAAAAAAGTTGTTTGGAAATATCCAGTTGTAGTTGCTTTGTATGTTGCAACAGGTAGAAGGGATGAAGTGAAGTGTGAAGGCCCCTCATACCCTCCATCTTGCCTCAGAATATGTCCTGGAACCCTGGTGGGGGTGGGGGGTAACCGACACTTTCCTTCCTGCTTCTTGGTATTGTTGGTGGCCATGTAGTGATAGAGCACCACAAGCAAGAAGAGAGACACTTCCAGCATGTTGGGGAAGATGACCAGCTGCATTTCTGTAATCATTCTGACCAGCTGGACTCTGCTCTAATGCTGCCTGTGCACCAGCTGGAGATAGGAGCCCTAGACCTAAACTTCCTAGCATCAGCTGTAGTCCAAGCAGGCACTTCTGCCGGTCAGTGTGCTGGAATGACCTCTTTGTATATATTCTCTTTTTTTGTGAATATTTCCTATAAGTAAAATGATTCACTGTAGTTTTTCTTGGCTGGACTTTTTCCACTTACCATATGGATTTAAGATCCAACCACACACTATAGTGTGTATCAGTGATTCATTACTTTTCATTGATGAATTGTATATCATTGATGGATTTATAACATTTTAAAAATATCCATCTGCCAAATTTGGGGTTATTATGAATACTTCTGCAGTATGTATATGCCTTTATGTTGACACTATACTTTTATTTTTCTTGAATAGCTTCATGTAATTGGGTTGGGGGGGTCTATTTGTTCCTTTTGTGGTGCTGAGGGTTGAACCCAGGGTTTTGCACATGCTAGGCAAGCACTCTACCATTGAGTCACATCCCTAGCTCCATATAATTGTTTTTTTAGAATAAACTGTTCACTATTCAAATATTTTATTTCAATAAAAACATAATTTTTATTCCTCAAAAGAGTTTATTTGCAGGCATTGCCTATGTTACATAAAGGATACCATTTATTGACTATATGCTGGAGATCACTAGTTATCCAGCCCAACCTTTATGCTCCCTTTCTCCTCAAGTAATGGAATTTTTACTTTTACTGAGTACCTTGTCACTCCTCAAATTCCTTGAAGTGCAGCCAAGTGACCAAGCCCTAGGCAAAGAGCTGTAACTGGATGTTTTGTTCAGAGTATTTGGGAAGGAAACATGAACCTTATTTACTAGGCCTAGGGTATAATTCCTTGCTCTTATACCTTTGAGGCATTTTTCTGCCTTCAACAGTGATGCAATATCTGGATTTTGGCAGACAACTTGGACTACAAAGTAGTCCAAGATAGAATCCATAGCTTGGGCACAATAAAAAACCAGAAGTTGAGTCCCTGACAATGTGGAGAGAAGAGTTCTGCAAATCACTTCACTCTGGCACCAGCTTCAAGTACAGGAATCCCTAAGACCACCCTGGGATTTGAAAATTTTCTAGAAGAACTCACAAACCTCACTAAAAGCTGTTTTATGCATGGAGATATTATATTGCAGTTAAAGGTTTAAATACAGTCAAGATACAAGTTACATACAGCGCAGCCCAGGAAAATTCCAAACACAGAGGGTCTGAATTCTGATTTCAAGTTGTCCTCTATTCATAGAATTGTGAAAAAGGTTAATTTCCCATCAGTGAAGGTGACAGTAGGCACAGAGTACTACCAGCAAGAAAGTTCACTAGAGCCTTGGTATCTAGAGCCTATCATGTTGGCTTCCTCAGTCTCCAACTCTTTAGAAACCCAACTAATATTAAGTAACCAAATCCCCTGCCTTTAATCACCTTGTCAATACCTGGTCCTGCCCATACTCCCAAACATACATCACACTGTTGGTGTTATACAAAGCTCTCATCCTAAATCCCATTATTATATTTAGCTAACCCAGGTAAACAGACATTTCTATCAAGCAGAATATTCTAATGATTTAGAGATACCATGCAGGAGTCCAATGACAAAGACTAGACCTCTTTTTAGGTAAGAATAAATTATTTATTGTACAGTATTTGCAGACACCATGGAGCCACAGTTCAACTGTTCATATTCAGGTTTTCTTAACATGACAAATTTTAATCTTATTTATGCCACTTTGGGGAAGCAGACTGAATTTTTGCTATGTGATATCAAACCTCCTAAACAACCAAAATGGGAATGGTTAACATTAGGTTTACAAAGAAAATAAAATATACTCCTTATAATTTTTATAACAATATATGAAATATTTAAAAACATAGGAAAATTTGTACTTAAAAGCTCTGTTAAAAGATACACAGTTGTTATGATCATATGGCATGATTACAGGATAGCCATTTAATGTAAGAATGCTACTTAGCAAACAACTAAATAAAATATATAAAGCAAAACGCTATAGAATGTAGAAATAAAACGCAATTATATGCACCAATAAATAAAAACTCTTATGATATAGGTGTAAGTTTGAAAAATTTCTCCATGTAAAATGAAATTATCTTTTCACCAACATTGAACTAAAATCATGGTGGGAGTGAGGACTGTCACTATAGTTCCCAAATTACTAACCACAATAAAAGATGTTACAAAATTTCCTTCACCTTTCAGATGATCAAAAGGATTCAATATCCAAATGGTCTATAATTTCAAACTAAGAATAAGCAAACTGATCTAGAATCAATTTCTGGCATAGAATATAGTATACAGGGTGATGGAATGAATGAGATGAATCAGAAACACTATAACAGTGTTTTAACTACATGTGGTTTCTATTTATTGATTGTGAGAAATCTGAAGTCAGCTTATAAAGCAGTAACCTATTGTTCATTCTCCAAGTGATGCATGATTTTTCCTTCCTTCTTTTATCGTTGATTTCCAGTTTCATTCCATTATGATCAGATAAGATGCATGGTATTATCTCTACTCCTTTATATTGTCTAAGAGTTGCCCTGTGACATAATATATGATCTATTTTTGAGAAGGATCCATGTGCTGCTGAGAAAAAAGTGTAACTGCTTGATGTTGGGTAGTATATTCTATATATGTCAATTAAGTCTAGGTTATTAATTGTGTTATTGAGTTCTATAGATTCCTTATTCAACTTTTGTTTGGAAGATCTGTCCAGTGGTGAGAGAGGTGTGTTGAAGTCTCCCATGATTATTGTATGGTGGTCTATTAGACTCTTGAACTTGAGAAGAGCTTGTTTGATGAACATAGCTGCACCATTGTTTGGGGCATATATATTTATGATTGTTATGTCTTGTTGGTGTATGGTTCCCTTGAGCAGTATGTAGTGTCCCTCTTTATCCCTTTTGATTAACTTGGGCTTGAAATCTATTTTATTTGATATGAGTATGGGTACTCCTGCTTGTTTCCGAAGTCCATATGAGTGATATGATTTTTCCCAACCTTTCACCTTCAGCCTATGTATGTCTTTTCCTATCAAATGCGTCTCCTGTAGGCAGCATATTGTTGGGTCTTGTTTTGTGATCCATTCTACTAGCCTGTGTCTCTTAATTGGTGAGTTTAAGCCATTAACATTTAGGGTTATTATTGAGATATGGGTTGTTCTTCCAGCCATATTTGTTTATTTATGTTACTAAACATTGTTTGTTTTCCTCTTTGATTATTTTTCCCCCCTTTACTGTCCTACATCCCACTGTTGGTTTTCATTGTTATTTTCCATTTCCTCTTCCTGTAATGTTGTGCCGAGGATGTTTTGAAGAGATGGTTTTCTAGCTGCAAATTCTTTTAACTTTTGTTTATTCTGGAAGGTTTTAATTTCATCTTCCATCCTGAAGCTTAATTTCACTGGATACACAATTCTTGGTTGGAACCCATTTTCTTTCAGTGTTTGAAATATGTTATTCCAGGATCTTCTAGCTTTCAGAGTCTGTGTTGAAAGATCAGCTGTTATCCTGATTGGCTTACCCCTAAATGTAATCTGCTTCCTTTCTCTTGTAGCTTTTAAAATTCTCTCCTTATTCTGTATGTTGGGCATCTTCATTATAATGTGTCTAGGTGTGGATCTCTTATGATTTTGCACATTCGGCGTCCTGTAGGCTTCTAGGATTTGGGATTCTGTCTCATTCTTCATTCTGGGAAGTTTTCTCGTATTATTTCATTGAATAGATTGCTCATTCCTTTGGTTTGGAGCTCTATACCTTCCTGTATCCCAATGACTCTTAAGTTTGGTCTCTTTATGTTATCCCATATTTCTTGGATGTTCTGCTCATGGTTTCTTAACAGTCTTGCTGAGCTGTCTATGTTCTTTTCCAGTTGAAATACTTTGTCTTCATTGTCTGATGTTCTATCTTCTAAGTGTTCTACTCTGCTGGTAGTATTCTCCATTGAGTTTTTAAGTTGGTTTATTGCTTCCTGCATTTCTAGGATTTCTGTTTGTTTGTTTTTTATAACCTCTGTCTCCCTGTATAATTGATCTTTTGCTGCCTGGATTTGTTTGTGTAATTCATTGTCTAAGTGATCTTTCATTGTCTGATTTTGCTGTCTAATGTCTTCCTTGATACTCCAGATCATCTGAAGCATGTATATCCTGAATTCTTTATCTGAAATTCCATCTGCTGCAGCTGTTACATCTTCTAAAGTTGAGTTGACCTGCATTGCTTGTAGTCCTTTCTTTCCCTGTCTTTTCATATTGCTTGCGTTTCTTTCTGCTTGGTGAAACTGTTGTGTTTTTGAAAATTTATTCCCCCTATATATTTATATTGTTCTTGTATAGTTGAAAAGTCTCCCTTGCAGGGTCGGTTGCAGGTCTGCCTACCTTGCAGGCGCGGGCGGCGGCTCTGCTCTGCCCCTCCTCCAATTGGTGTGACTTGTCTACTACACCCGCGGACTGCTGGGCCTGTTCCGGGCGCGGGTGAAGGCTCTGCTCTGCTCCTACTCCAATTGGGGTGACGTGCCTACCACCCCAGCCGGCCGCTGGGCCTGTTCCACCCGTCGGTCGTAGGTCTGCCTACCTTGCAGGCGCGGGCGGCGGCTCTGCTCTGCCCCTCCTCCAATTGGTGTGACTTGTCTACTACACCCGCGGACTGCTGGGCCTGTTCCGGGCGCGGGTGAAGGCTCTGCTCTGCCCCTACTCCAATTGGGGTGACGTGTGTACCACGCCGGCAGACCGCTGGGCCTGATCTGCTGGTCTGTCGCAGGTCTGCCTACCTTGCGGGCACGGGTGGTGGCTCTGCTCTGCCCCTACTCCAATTGGGGTTACGTGACTACCACATGGGCGGGCCGCTGGGCCTGATCCAGGCGCGGGCGAAGGCTCTGCTCTACCCCTACTCCAGTTGGGGTGACGTGTGTACCACACTGGCAGGTCGCTGGGCCTGATCTGCCGGTCTGTC